GCAGTTCACTCCTAACTTGTGCTATCCGGTGAAATCTCCAGGACTGAAAAGTGCTTGCCCGTGAAGCACACCAGCCAGGGACTGTAACCAAGCCGCTTCGTTTTCCTAAAGTTCTTCCCAAGACTCCCACCAAACTATAAGTAGTCTGCTGAATTTTTCAGCAACTTTAGGAGTAGTATAATGCACTGACTCACCTGGCTCCCAGGTGTATTTATGGTATGTAGATGAGTGTGTTAGCCTAATTTTGAGCTCAAATAATATATAAAGCTGACAGAAACTGGGGGACTGCGTCCAGTGGGGCTGTCAAAAAGTTTTCAGCAGCCTTGTGAGTAGTGTGCTACGTTTATACGACTGGGTTACTCATAATGCTGGCAAGCCGCTCTTGTCCGAAGACTTTAGACATCAACAAAAATTCGTGCTGGAGATACTTGTAACTCACGGTACCGAGGATCCATAACGAAGACGTAACAACAATACGGCATTGCTCGTCTTTTAATCACACAGTTATTTTACCTGCAAAACGAACTCTTCATCCAGCTCTCAAAACCTCCCGATACTATCATCAAGGTTTCCATGACGTTTCCTCACTAGCTTTGGGTACAACCTTTGTTATTTTTTATAAAATCAGCCAAAACTTTGCTCATTAAAAACTCGGTCAAAGAAATGGGTGCTTGTCATTATTCCAAACAGAGTAACAATGAAGTCCCAGTGAGTTAAACTGAATGAACATAACCGTGGCGAATCGATGGGACCAATCAGAGTCCACCAGCATCATGACCTTGGATTGTCGGATTTTATGCGTCCAAACGATCGATATCGAGCCCTTCAAGCCACCTAGTCATAGTGTGGACGATACAGCGGGCATGGTCAATAGTAGTGCTCAAACGACATAAGTGGACCACACGAATCATGCGATATTTAGAGCATGGATGCTAGCGCACTAGGTATTCGGTTGCGTTTCATAACGGTGAGCAGGTCAGCGTGGGCCACAATCCTAATATGTGGTCAGAAGTTATCCTGTAAATGTCGACCTCCGGTTAACGGTAGTTGGCTGGCTGTTTATTTTTCCAATGTGAGTATCAAACACTGAAATAAATAGTCCGGAGTTTCTTGAAGAAAATGAGACACCTTTTCTTTCGGGGCTCCCTTTAGTTTCCATCTGATGTGTGCAAATTAGCGAGCACTATTCGTTGGTATTCTTTTAGACTCTGTCATATCTTCCAATTCACCAATCTGTTGTATCTGACTGCTGACCCGCTCCAGCGCCTGGTGCCAAAAAAGACCCACAGAAAGGAACACAACAGTTATGGTCCGAACAAGTGAGTGCGAGTGTGAGTGCGTGCGAGTGCGTAAGTACAACGGTCTCAAGCTGTTTATTGGAGGACACTGTCTGAACTTGGTCCAACGGTGACGCACGCAGTCTGGATTTGGTACGAGGCTGTGACGCGCTGCATATTGCGGGGGCGTTGCCTGACCTTGATCAACGCTGGCTCGCGTTGTCTGGATTTGATACAAGGCTGTGACGCGCTGCATATTGAGGGGGCGTTGTCTGTCTGGTCAACCTCTAGCGGAGATTAGAGTCTCGGTAGATTTCGGCCATTCAGCGGTTGATTTCAGGAATCTGGCCTTCCTGATGGATACATCCCAGTTTTTTGGTTGACACACACTAAGCCTACCGAGCAACCTGACGGACCGCTCTGAGTGGCCGTTTTTTAGTGGAGGTTAGATTCACGGATGCGCATTAGTGTTGACAGCGCTCTCTCTCTCCCCATCGGTCTACGCACAATGATCGAAGGGAATCAATAGTTCAAATCCAGTAAGATAATCCTAGGCGTAGTGAATATTGATCAATGTCATATTGTCCCTATGCTCTCCCATTGGCTTTCAAGATCAGACCTGATCTACCAGTCCATGGATGTTATGGCCAGTCCCCAAGAGACCTGCAACAGCAATGGTGATGTCTTTGTCTGTATCGATCGTTTTTAAATAGACGCGGGCGTGAATTGCACCAGCTGCACTTTTTTTGAAACCTGAAACAGGTTCTACTCATTTTGAAACGGGTTAACGTCTGGTGTTACTGAGGCCTCATGTGGGCTTGCAATCTGTGTTTGTCTGTATGCAACACCCCTCATGCCCCTTCGATATAAGGACGAATCAGTTTACAAACAACTTACTGCTGTAGACCTTAAAGACTGCGTGCCGCAAATCAACGCGCAAGCTACTTGACTAGACAACTATACAATCAGAAGCCGAAACAAGTGAGGCAGTATACTGTATTGTATACTACTATATACTCTATACTACTACTTACGGCCCACTAGTTGTTTGCACTGATCTGGTTGAAGTACAGAGCCCTCATTACAAACCCTGTTGTTTATTGGATGTAATGCCGGGTTCCCGAAGCGCCTTACGAAACAGATCGAGAACGACTAACTGACGGTTCTGACTCTCAGTGACTGAGTTCCTCAGTAGGCCAGGACTTCGAACTACAGTGGCTGCGGTCTGATCACGTTTCATTTTGATGAGAGAAATATAGAGGTTAAAAACGAAAGGCACAAGGTCTCCCGTTTCTGACCACAGTGGATTGGGTACCGCACTCAGAAAAGTGTCTGAAACGGTCATGTCTATCCCGTAAATCTTCTCCTCCACAAGCTGTTACATGCGTAGGAGTGTGACCTAATGAACTGCGTCAGTGAACTTAGCGAATATACATTCATTTGCGAACTAAGTTGGTTTTTCGAGAGACTCATCTGGAACCCACCTGAATCTCTCGTTTGTGATGTTCTCAGGCAACTGAATGTGCTGCACCAGGCCGCCTCATGTTTCAGTCGCTAC